AACCTTAAACGTTCTTTTTTTAAAATATGCTACTCACCGGGTCGTCAGCGCTGTTCAATGACGTTCCAAAAAAAGTTTCGTGAAGAAAAAACGTTCCTGTAGTGTTTTATTTAGCATTTTGTAAATCCCATTGAGTTCTGTAGGAATAGTCAATATTCCGCTGCCACCGGAAACGGAAATGGAGCCTGTTTACACAGTTGTAGTCTTTTCGCTTCACTCTGTGTACTCCGACGTCGAGAATCAAGAATCCACCTTTCGTATTCCATTTTCAGAGTTTTTTAAAGTGTTTAACAGAGACGTTAGCACCTCGACGTCGGAGTACACAGAGTGAAGCGAAAAGACTACAACTGTGTAAACAGGCCCCATTTCCGTTTCCGGTGGCAGCGGAATATTGACTATTCCTACAGAACTCAATGGGATTTACAAAATGCTAAATAAAACACTACAGGAACGTTTTTCTTTACGAAACTTTTTTTGGAACGTCATTGAACAGCGCTGACGACCCGGTAAGTAGCATATTTTAAAAAAAGAACGTTTAAGGTTGTTTTAAGGACATTATCGGACATGCTCTATGCAAGCCATTCTAAAGCAGCCAGGGGGGGATTCTAAATGAGCCAAAAAGCAGAGACAGGAGCAATTGTCAAACTTTTGGTGTCGATCATTCGATTTCATCCTGGACACTACAGAAAATGGGCTTAAAGTGTAAAAAACCGAACTTCTCCTTTAATTCCCAAGTTTTTTTTCTAACCTCAGTTTTAACCATATTTGTCAAAATAAAAAAAAATAAAAAAAGAAAAGTAAATATTTTTTTTTAATATTTAAGTTTAAGGTTTAAGGTTCCGATATGGCAGACAAATGTAAGAATAGTCATATTTAATGGAATGAAATACAGTACATGTTTCGATAAGGCTAAGACGGAAAGTACGTTTTGAAAACAACAACGACTTTTTATTTAATCAATATATATTTGTATGAAATTACATCTTTATTGGTCCTGCATAATGCTCTACTTTGAAATTTTGAGTTTTCATTATTTGACAAAAAAAATCCTCTTAATCAGCAAAAAATAAGGCTTGTAAACATCAGTCTGTGTCTAATGAATCTACATAATGTGTTTCACTAATTAAATTGAGTTGCTGAAATAAATGAAATGTCAATAATGATCCAACTTATTGAATTTCATTGTTTATAGTTTTGCTGATGCTCGTTTTCTTTAGACCTGAAATATTAGTGAGAGATATTCCAAACTGACCCATTTTTGATAAGCATGACTTCTGCTGACTCAGCAATTTTTTTCTTCTTCTAAACGGCAAGTGGATGGATATATAGTAAGCTACTACTGTAAATGTGTGGAAATCTATATTTAAATGTCCTAATTCTGAAATGAAAGCAAAGGCACATCTTTTCCTAAATATGCCTTACAAGCATCTTTTAGTTAAAGATCCGTTTTTATCACAACACTTACCATTGTGTTTTACAACCTAAACAAACTTTCAATTTTAAAATGCTTTTGTCACATGATTCTCATAGTCACAGGTCAGTCAGACAGGTCAATGCCTAAAATTACCTGAAAATTATAATGATTGATTTCATTTTATTGATCTCTTTAAAAACTTCTGTTTTTTTCTAAAGAGAGAGCAAATGTATCTACTGCAGACTTTGGTGCAAATCACAGCCATCTGCTAGACTTGACATGCATGTTTACAGTGGAACAAATTCACTACAATACGCATTGTGATTTCAGGGCAGAAAAATAACAAATAGCTTGTGCAAAGCAGGCGCAAAAAGTGAAGGAGATTGTTCTGTTTTTTAAATGCTCCCCACATAATCTTAGTTCATTGAGCAAACTAAATAATTTCATCTTAATATTTACCCTACATGCATTTGGCAGGAATGGTAGAAAACTGTATGAAATCTTTCAAAATGTCGCATTAATCATAAAGAATCCGCACTAGTGTCGCTTTAGCATCAGTATTTTTGCCTGTCACTTGTTTATCCAAAGTGTCTCCTGACACCACAGACACTGAGCCTCGCCTACACATATTCACACCCTCAGTACTTTGTGACTACATCAACAGCCTACAGCCGTGCTTACCAGGCATTTCCTCCAGGAAGCAAAATCCCTTCTTCCCTTTCTGTAGCTCACCTGACAGCAAAAGGAAGAACTCTAAGTGGAAAACTTTTTCTATGGAAGGGGTGCCAGGCAACTTTGAGGAGAAAAAAAAAGAAAGCACAATAGAAGATGAAGTAAAAAGTAAGGTGACTTTGAAAAATATAAAGGAATTTAATTTACAGGGTTTTGGTAGGGCTGGATAAATAGACCCTCGATGGAGAACGAAGAGGAAAAAAATGAGGCAACAGGGCACCACAGTGGGTGGGGGCTAGGTGAGGAGAGTGGGGTCTCAGTGCCTCTCCCAGGGCCAAGTCGTCGCTCTGTTTCAAATGAATTCATTTATTCTGTTTGGTTGGCTTTATCTTTAGCTGCAACAAAACACAGTATACTGTTCTGCCTCCCGAGCGCTTGATTTCAAGGTTTGTCTACCATCGAGGTTGGTCCTGAGGTATTACTCTTACTTACTTAACACTTTCCATTAATCAAATTCAAACCTTAAAGTTATCCTCCACTGAATAAGCTACAGCTAATTAACATTTGCATTTAAAGCCAGGGTGTCCGTAACTCTGCTGTGCTGTTTAAACTTTATGATTAGGAAACCTTTGTTCAGTCTACAGAGCTTTGCTGACATTATTCACAAAGAAACATAAAGTTGTAACTAACAGTGAAATAAAATGAACATGGCAAACTTTTAAAATTAGTTTTTGACAACTTCTAGTTTTAGACCAATGTTTTGATGACCCACCCAAAAAAGACCATCCTCCACTATACCTTTAAGCTTTGGAATGCCAGAAGTTCCAAAGCACTGCAAGAGACCTCTGTTGACCTACATACAAAATATTGTGGGGGGGATTGGGGCTATCAGGGTACTTATGGTGTACCATGGTGGATGAAGTAACATGCATTCGTAATGCTGTCTTGCAGAATTGATAGTGGGACAAAGATTAACAACATTGCTAAACATACAGCCAGAGCTACAGTGGAACCGTTGTTGGAGAAAATTCATGTGTGGCAATGACCCATCAAAAATCCAGACCTAAATATCACAAACCTGCCAACCCAAACTGGTGATGTGTAGCACTTAGTATTCATTCTACACAGTATTCATACGGGAATGCCCCGACTGATTCTGTTTTGGGCAAAAGGACATTCAGTACAAACTTCTGAGATGATTGGACCCAGTGACACCTACTGCCTGCCTACCAGAGTTTGGTTTTTTTCCAATTATTGTAACAAATGGACTAGTAGCAAACGGCACGTCAAACTGAATCAACTTATGCTTTTACAGCCTAGCTGTTCCTCTTCCAAAGATAAAATCATGGATTCGGATGTGATAACAGCACCTACATCGTCCTGCTGTGCCATGTTTATTTTGGTTTGCGTGTGGGCTCAGCGGCCCAGGCTTTTGTCCCAGCTTCAAGCCTTGCCTTAAATCACAATACTGCAACTTGATTGGTAGTCCCGAATCAGGTGGGTTCTGAATGGTTGCAGCAAGGGGGTACAAAGTGGATTCTCATGTTTGTGAATGCACAAAAAATGCAATAATAGAGCTTTCAGAGGAGATTAAAGTATCATTTGCATCTTAGTATTGCAAAGGATACTAATACTATAGGATACTAATAAATACAAAAAAATCTGCTATTGTAAGGACAGAACATAAATAATGTTGAAAGGGTTTCAACACTTTTGTGCACCACTGTATCTTTATAAAACACATTCACATAGATTGTGTAAAGATTTGTTTTTGTGCCACAAATGTCAAACTCTGGCAAGATGATAAATTGGCAGCAATTTATGGGAACATAAAATCACATTCTAGTTTTGGCCAAATATTTAATCTCTCCTCCTCTCCTTCTCTGTGTCTCTGTTCCTTCCCTCCCTCTTTTTCTCAGAATAATATGCCACTGGGAAGTAAAAGAAAAAAAAAACTCTGAGCACAGATCCCCACTCCTCCACTCTTCTCGACTGCATGTCTGTGATGTCATAATCACTCACATCAAAGGCTGTGCGCTCAACACGGCGACTGTCAGCTTCCCTGGAGGCGTCATTAAAAACGAACAGAGCAAACCGAGCCGGGCCTGACAGAAATGCATCAAAACTTCCCAATGCTCGTCGGCGCGCACACTTTACCATGCCAAACCACACAGGCATTCAGGTGTGTGTGTGTGTACAATAGTAAAAAAAACAAGGAACAACCTTGCACGCACACAACTATAAAATTTCTCCAATCATTTATACTCTAAAGAAAACACTAACATTGCAGAAGGATCCTAGACTCACTGGCAGAATCTTCTAATGAATGAATATGAGTTTTTCCTCCATGACAGTGTCAAAACTCACTCAATCTGTGGGTATGAATAGTAGCTTGACATTTAAAAGAGTATGGCATGCACACAGCTGCACTGTACCTTTGACTAATAGCATCCACGGCCCCGCTGTGACGCAAACATGCATTAATGATGCACGCTTTGGTTTGAATTCAGAGCGTGCACGTAGATGTAGAAAAAGCCCACATCCATCCACCCACCCAGTTTTCATCCCTGGCTGTCTATCTCAGACGTTTGCCCACACACTCTGGCGCAAGAACGCGCATAGTCGCGTGCTCGTTTACACAAACTGAAGGGGGGGGTATAAATAGTACGCGTATGATGTGATATTGTGTGGTTTCTCCCTATGGGTTTGTGTTTATGTGACTGTCAAAGTGAAGAGGGAGGGGGATGGGATGTGAGAAATAGGAGGGAATGAAGGGCTTTGCTCACATTTGCCTCATAGCAAACCTTCTCGATAAGAAAAGATGGAGATTCCAACTTGATTTGTGAGAAACAGATGGTATCGAATGCTAAAAGAAACATGTTAGATTTAGTGGCCTTTTGTTTGTACGACTTACTCCTGGCAGGGTCTTCTGCTCGTGCAATGCGTTCTGGGCTTTCAGGGCTGACTCTCTGGCACAGTAGGTGAGGAAGGCACAGCCTGAAAAGAAAGCAAAGGGAAGGAGAATGACACGATTATGTTTAACCTGAAGTGGTAACAAAAAGGAAGTAGCATGTACCAATCACCAAGTAATACACAAATATGAAATATTACATACACACCACAAAAAGCCTGGAGCCAGAGCTCTGAGATGTTCCTTTATTCACTTTGTATGTTTCTGTGGATGTGTGTTATTTCCTTAGATTTTTAAAGTGGAACAAGTGGAGGAAAAAAATAAATAAATTTGCGTGGATGTGTGACGATTTATGCATTCTGCTGTGTGAGAGCAGCCATGCCAGAATCAACACTTTTAATCTGACGAAGCTTTTTCCCTGGCAGTCTGAAATAGCAGTTATCCATTTGTCCATCGCAACCTCCTGGCTGCTGTGACAGGGACAGACAGCCTGACAGCTTCTCCCTCTCTTTCTCTCTCGCTCTCTCAGAGACCCCCTCCTCCTCTCCCTCCTCCATTTCTCCGTCATCTCCGTGCTCCATATGCTCCAAGACTACCCACAATCCTCGGTTTTGTTAGCACCTGGGTTGACATGCGGGGGTGGAAAGAAGATGGAGATGCAGGAGGCACGAAAGACGACAAAGCCACAGGGAACGTGTAACGTTCCCTCGCCACCCCCCGTTGACAGAGACTGTCGGAGCTGACAAACTGTCAATCTGCAGATCAGGGCTAATGATTCATGTGTTTGACAGTTTAATGAAACACGTGCAATTGCACAATAGGCTGCAGTGTTACAACACAGTTTCTGTTCATGTTGTATCAGCAGGTGTTTAGCTTGTTTATCCTGTCCCCCCCCCATAACCTTTCTTTTAATTCATTTAGACTCTTTAAATTTAATCAAGGGGTGTAGCACAATATTGAAACTTCATGATATTTTTCGTAAAATTGAGAAGTTGCTGTTAACATGTGAATCTGAATGATAAAAGAAGCCCAAGCTACATTTTACCAACAAACTCCCAATACAAACTGGGTGTTATAAGGTTGACACCTTGTTGGATTTATGTTTCAGACTCTTTTTGGATTTTGGAAAGGAAGTTTGGCATTGTTCTGTTGACCATATACACAAACTTCTTATTGATTATGTCAACAAACCCTTTACAAAACCCCTTTTTATATTCTTTCTTCAACGAAAAATATATGATGTGAGATTATAACAAATGTGTCACAATTTGGATATATGTTTTTGATTCATATTAATAGTTCTGTTATATTAAATAGATTGTCTATTTTCTGCTATTTAAATGCCAATAAGAAGCTTCCATTTAAGTTTCTTTCTGTAATTTTTGCATGCTACATTTTCGTTTTTGCTCATGTCAGGCATGTGTAGCGATAGCTTTTTTTTTTTCCAAACCCTGCTTGCATCTAAGGCTGTAACCTCTTCACTTGGCTCTTGTGATAAAAAGGCCATTAGTAACCTAATGTAATGTTATAGCTAATATTCTACTATCAGTTCTGCTTTCAAGTGAAAATTAAGACATTTTCCGAAAATACCGCTAACGTTACTATATTTATGAGCTTTATAATGCATTGCATTTTGTAAAAGAGACTATCGGCATGCTAACTTGCTATACTATAAACATATATTCAGGTTTTATCCTTTTTTTTTTAAGAAACACCTCTTAGTGGATGAAAAAGGGAGTACTAACCTTAAAGCAGAAGAAAACTAATGTGCAGTGTTTGATAGATTTCTTTTATTATTTCATTAACCTGACATGTCTGCAAGCAGGCTTTGGCAAACACCCTGCTGCCATGCAGCAAACACAAGCACATAGATACAAAAGAACCACAGTTTGTTCTGAAAACATCAAGGGCTAAGCATTAGACGATTATCATAGACCTCTTCGCCCCAAAGACACAAACACAGTGCAGTTTAAAGAAAGCAAGCCCTTCTAATAGCTTTTCCCATTTCTGCTTAACTTTGTTCTCTCTGGATACCCCTGGCTATTTATTGTTAAAAGTCTAGGACTATATGCCGTATAGAGAAGCAGCGAGTCTGCCATCTTCTCTGCTCCATGTCTTTAACCCCAGGTCGTCCTGATGGTGGGACACCAGGGAGCTCTGCCTGTTGGTGTTTTTAATTAACGGCCCTCTCTCTCATTACGCGGAGTGGGAGCTGGCCGCTGACAGCTCTGCTACCTTCTTGTCCTCTCAGGGCCTGTCGTGTTAATTCTACATGCTAGTGCTGTCCCATAGGAAACACGCATGCAAGCCTGTGATTCATGTGCCTGACACTCACTTGCATGTTTCGAGGCACAGGCAGCCACTGCAACCAATACATTCAACACGGAGACTAGAAGCAAATCTTTTGTTCTAATCAAAGTAACAATATTTTGTTCTCATTTAACCTGAATTTGCACTTTAAAAGGAGAAATGTGGTTTTGAAAGATGCACCAAGGCATCAAGGATGGAAAATATATATAAAGTAATTTTGCTTTAGTATTTTCCAAGTTTTTCACAACAAACAATAGATCAACTATAATACTTTTAGTACTTCTGAAATGTTTTGTTAACCTACAGTCATACATTAATTTATTTTCAAGATCAGTTATTTGCTAACTTCCATCAACAAGACTTATAGTTTGAATGATGCTGTTAAAAGAAATAAGCATGTCTTTTGGCTGTACCAAATTTTGTTTGTCAGTAAAAGCATTAGATTAATGCAGCCCAATTTACTTTGATATTAAATAGAATGTGGAAAGTGTGGTTCATTAAACGGATTGTATAATTAAATTAAAAGAAAAAATTAATATATATATATATATATATATATATATATATATATATATATATATATATATATATATATATATATATATATATATATATATATATATATATATATATAACCTTCTTGCTGCAAGGCAGTAGTGCTGGCCACTGCGCCACTGAGAAGTCCATATAATCCAAATCATTACAAGATATTGCTGACTTCATTTTACCTATTAAAATTAGGTATGTTTATTTTTAACTTTGTCACAGTTTAACACTATAAACAAAGCTCCTAGCTCTGACAGCACAAGAGGGGAAGATAGGGGATTTAAAGGACTTCAAACAAGGCAAGATTGTTGGTGTGCGGCAGGACTATCAGGGTATGTCCAAAACTGCTGATCTATTAAAATTGAACGTTAAATGAAGACAAAAAAAAATTTACGAATAGAGAAGCTTGGTTGATGTCAGATAAAAAGGCAATGTAGAACCTACCTGGGATGATCTGAGAAAAAACAAACAAACAAAAAAAAATGGAACATTTAAAATCTCAAACTGTGCCTTTGATTTGACTTTGTTTATAGAAGAATAATCTGTTCAAGGATTCATTAGTCTGCATGTTTTTTTTCCAAACATTTTTAACATTAGAGATTACCAGACAGAGTCCAATTCCATTCAACCCTCCAATTAGATACCAGCTTCAGCATCATTCAATAGTCTCAACATATGTTCATATTTTGTAAAGTTTACCCTGTCTGACAAACTGACCAGATATGCAGACAAGCAACCAGTCAATCTTGTTTTGACTGACAGGCATCTAGTGTGTTAGGATACAGCCCTGAGCTCTGCACCCTGTTCCATTATAAATATATATATAAAGAACTGATTATGAAGATGGTGTATTTCTTTCTTTCTTTCTTTCACAGTAACACAGTTCTATAGTTCACTAATTAGCATAGATTTTTTGTGCGTTTTATTTTGTTGATTTCATCTCACTGTGTATGCAGCAGTAGCCAATGATATTGAGCCCCCTTTCATTCGGCAGGCTTTCTGAAGGTCTCCCTGTTCTTTACTTCTTTTTTCTACTCCTTTTCAGTCTAGTCCATTTACCTGACCGCTTTCAGACTGATGCATGTTTTATTTGGTAAGCCACTTAACTTTGAACTATGAATCATTCAAACATAAAAAAACACCTACATCAAAGGATGAGCTGTTTTATCCACACAAGCCTGACACCTTAGCAATGAAGCAATTTTAAGTTGTATCTTTAGGCTTTTTGTTTCTAGGAGCTTGCCAGCTGAATCTACAAATAATGCCGAAGATAACACAGTTTGACAGGCCAAAAATAGCTTTTTTTTTGCACCAGTAAGGTGGTTCACAAAGAGCTATTAGCTAAACACTTGGTTTACTCTAGCACACATATGCACTTGCTGTCCAGTCCAACATACTTAAACACGCTGACACACTTTCACATATGCACGCATTAAAAGTGACAGTCAACAAACGTTCAATTTATCATCATTGTCACAAGTCAGATGCTGGCAGCAGCTCTAGTATCTGACTAAGGCCCATATTGGCCCAGGAGAGAGAGATAAGCTGTTTGTTTCTGCTGTCAATGCTGCCAATTTAGTTTCCCATCACTTCAAATTCAAATCAACAGTAGCGCAGAGGGGATCTGAGAGAATGTGTGTCTGAGACGAGAGGAAGAGATGAGGGGGAGAGAGAAGAGCAGGAAGGGCAAGAGAGCAAGAAGAAAAGTGAAGAGGAGAACAGCGGAGAGGAAAAGCAGAAGAGCATGGGATGCTTGGGAAGAGAGGGGGAGAGCAGATAAGATCACCTAGCTTCTGTGAACACCATCCTCCTGTGTCCTACACTCACTTCTTATCTCAACTGCTGCAGACACCCTAAAGGGACACACACCCACAGAGAGAGAGAGAGAGATAGAAAAGGAGTGAAAGACAGAAAAAATAGGAAAGGGATAGAGAGAAGATGAAAGAAAAACAGCAAGGGAATGGCAGAGGCTGAATAACTTTCTGGTGGGGGAAGAAGAAAGAAATCCACCAACTGTCACCAGGTCTCATTCAAACGACAGATGTGCAGGACCACGTGTAGCTTTGACCTTGTTAACCACTGAAAGTTTTGACTGCATAAGTTAACCTTTTCTGCACTTAAAAAAAAGAAGAAACCTTTAAATCACAGTTCCTTTGAAAAACATTCACATCCTTTGACATTTTTTTTTTTATTTCAAGAAGGAAATTTTAATGTATATTTTCTGAATTTA